TCCATTGATATTAATTATGCAAACAGATAATACTAGAATGTTAAATGCTGGCGCATCAAGGTTAAAGGCTAGAAATTAAAAACTTTAAAATAAGTCGCAATATGCAATGTGTCAAAGAATAATGGATAAGATGGATGGAGCAAGAAAATATAATGACATTAAACGAAAAGTTTTGCTTAGGAGACAAACACTATTTTTTTAAAAGTTTTCGAAATAATAATTGTATTGCCCGAAGCTTAAAGTATGTTTGGTGTACACGTAAGTTTTATTTGCGTTTAAAGGTAATTACAAGCAAAAAGTCAGACAAATGCACAATACAATATACCAATCTCCTTCCACAAACTTTTCGATTTATTTCAGTACGACAACTCTAGCTACCTTTCAGGCAATACTGAAGCGCACGCATCACATTTGTCTCCCTTAGGTGGTCAGAAGTAATGAATTCTGTATGAATACGGAAACAAAGAGAACTCAATCCATTACGTCTGGATAGGATGATGAAAAATACCATTTGTGGAATGAACTTATCATCCTTTTTTGTTTTTTCTTCTGTCTTTGTAACTTCTTTAACTAGCAGTTTGATGGATAATGGCTTAGCCTATTTCGCGGAACGATGTGTTTAATTGACTTGTCTTCCCGAATTGGACAATTTGTTTGATGGACTTATCTTTCTTTATGGAACAATTTTTTTAATGGACCTATCTTCCTTTATGCAACAATTTGTTAAATGGACGTATATTCCTTTAAGGTACAATTTGTTAAATGAACTTGTCTTTCTTTATGGAACAATTTTTTTAATGGACCTAACTTTATGGAACAGTTTGTTTAATGGACTTTTCTTCCTTTACGGACCAATTTGTGAAGTGGACTTATCTTCATTTACGAAACAATTTGTATAATTGACTTAGTCTCCTTTACGGAAATGTTTGTTTTATGGACTGATCTTTCTTTAAGATAAACTGGGCCTACTTCATGGAGCATCTTTTGAGGATAATTTATCTTCAGATGTGCATTCCACCAGATGAGTAACCAACTTTTCAAAGTACCAACATTACATAAATATAATAATAAAGAGTCTGAAGGCTTGCAGTTTTAATCTGAAATTTCATACAGTTTCCATTTCTTATTACGAGTGACATGTATATGAGATGTCAATTTGAAGTACTAAGATTGAACAGCTGTTATTATCTTAAAGTTATTATCATCATTCGGGCATTTCCTTTTTGTTTTTTATTCTTATTTTCATTGAATCAGACCTGTATGTAAGTAGAAACCAAGACTATTAGCTTATATTCATGTATGTATGTTTTCATCAGCGTGATAACAAATACTTAAACGCTCTTTTAGATGTTCACGGTTCAAAACTGAGTAGCGGTTACAGGTGGATCAGGATCACTTCAACCCCAACAACACAAATTAAATTCAATTAAGTGTGAAAGGGATTATGAACATACAAAGTGTCTTTTATTTTGTTTAGGAACTAGAAATAAAAAGAAATATATTTATGAATATGTTCAGCAGGAAGTGTGAGCCTTGGCTCTTATATGTAGCTTGAGGTAGATTATGTTTACAATGACAATGTCTCATTTTATTTTCTCAGAATTTATTTCAGCTCGATTGCATAGGAAGCTAATTTTTTAAGCTTATAAACACGGTCTCGAACCAACCAGTACTGAGCAATGGGTGTAAAGTTTTCTTGTCCAAGGAAACAACAGCTTGTCCATGGCAAGATTTGAACCCACTCGACAGACGATCCTTAAATTACTAGTCCGACGCCTGATTATAAAGATGATTTATTTTTATGTATTGATTAGACGTATTTTTATATTTTAGATTTTGTTTCTAATATAGAATTTTAGATATATTATTAACTTTAAGATTTGAAGTACTTACATTTTTGATCGTGTTTATTTTTGATAGTATTTACGGCAAGACAGTCTTACCAAATATTCATGCCGAGTCGGCAGAATCAAACATGGAGAGCAAACATGGTAGACTCATAGATCCGGACCTTGATCCTTCCGTGAAGGAAAAGAAACCAGAAGAACAATCGGAAAGAGAGGGGATAGTGTGACCCGGAAGTAATTACAGGATCGCGGTTAAGCACGAAACTAACATTTATAAACCGCAGGATAGAGGCAAGAAGAAAAACGCGCCAAACTTGGCAGCAGACGACACTATGTACAATGGAACGCTGGTAGATAATAGTGCCAAGAAAGACAAACAAACAGAACAAGAAGTTAAAAAAGCATTAGCAGGTCTAGAAATGAATAAACTAAATTATAATCAACATGTTGATTGACAAATCATCACAAAATGTGCTTTAATTAATTCAGAATTTTTCATGAATTATGACAAAGTTTATCGTTATTTTATTGTATAAGTGCCTTTTATTAAATTACTATTTCCTAGATATAGTTTCATTTCAGTATGCAAATGAGTGTATTTATGTAAATTTTAAAATGTGCACGCTGTAATTACATGGACATTCTATCTACCATTTCATTAAAATTTAGGTATTCGGAAGGGTACCCACAGTTTTTCTATTTCCGGCGGATGTTAAATTCATTTCCTGTATGACTGGTATACATATAACCTTAGATTACACGAATTATTATCGTTCGGCCACAACAAAAGCATTGCAATATATCTCATTTGCTAACTTGCTAACTAAACATACGAATACGAAGAACCAACGATTATTTTAGAAGATTCCTCTCTTTTCCCGCCAAATTATGGTAACGTTTTATAAACATTTAGGGGTTGATATAAAATAATTTTTATCAATTAAGATAATAAGCAAGGGAATGATTTATCATAAGTTAAAATTGATGGTTATACATATGATGTTTGATAGACTGAGATTTAAAATCACATAAATAGCTCAAAGAAAAAACAACAAACAAACTGGACGCTTTAGATATTTTAAAGCGTTTCCATGTTTTCGATAAGTCAATATTTAATTTTGTTCCGACTCATTTCCCTCCTGTATAGAATAAGAAATATACAGTGCATTTCTATGGCATGTTTTCATGTTATTCTAAATGTATTCAGTTTTCATTTTCATTTCTCAATTATATAATGTTTACTTAAGAAATTGACAAACATCTTCAAATGTGACTGTTAATGATATGTGTAAGTTTGTTTACATTTTGGCACCGGGGAATAGAAGAGGTACTTCACAGTTACGATTTTGAGTCGGTACGCAAATATAAATGATGTCAACGAACGTGTGGGGTATACACTCTACGACGTTTGTAAGCCCAAGAAAACCTTTAATGCCAAAGCAGACGAAATTCAGAACGTTTTGTAAATATTGATTTATTCTAAACGGTTTATATGTGTCGTACTGATATAGTTAACATTATTTATTTAGCTGTGGTTGGACTTCCAAAATTCCGTATATCATTTTTCACGTTTCCATTGCAATGGACGACATGTTTCCTTAACTTATGGAATGCGCAATTCTTCCAACAACATTGAAAGGAAAATGGGACACAGTCAACCATCATATCATTACGAGTCTTGTACCGAAAAGTGATTAGCCTTTGTCGCAAGAAGAAACCAGTCTAGCCTCCATATCCGTACAGCCTATCCAGACCCTATACCGTTGCCAGAAATGATAGTTATTAAAATGGGAACTGTGCGTAGTAAGCTAAATATTATTTAAGAATTGTCAGTTAATAAAATTGTTTTGTCTCTAATTGGAGATTTGATAGCTGCTTCTTTAGGCATTGATTAATATAAATTTATATTTTACGTGTTGATAGGCGACAAAACGGCAAAATTCAATGGAAGACGAAAGTACCAGTCCTTTTTTGTAGATTCGTTACAGATAAGTCGTTTTCTTTAAGCTTTGGTATTCACAAGACGTAAGGTCATAAACACAACATTAACGCTGTCATTTTTTGGGGTCGCGTTTTATGTCGCACCAACAGAGGTCATATGGTGTCATTACAGCTTTACTGGTGGACGAAAAACTCCATTAATTCAGACATGAACGGGCACCTGAGTAAAACGCAGACATTCTGTAACCTAACTGGATAGCTTATTCACGTGAAAGAATCCAAAGTGTCTTACACGGACCATTTTAATTCATCATTTTCTGTAAGTACTGCACAACATAAATGTGACGATAGTTCAAAATCGAACTCGCGCGCACTGATTCTGATGACAGTCTCGGTACTGGGCCACGTTCAAAGAAAATATCAGCACAGCTTCATAATCATGCTAAGCAAAAAATTGAAGCAACCTTATTTTCGGATAAGATTTAAGAATATCAATACACACTACAATAATAATTGAATAAAATAAGATTTATATGATTAAAATCAATATTTGTATAAAAATTACCGACACACACATTTTGTAAAATAAATACGATATTTGACTTACATTTCATGAACTTGTACTAATTTAATACCACTTTTAAGTCTAATATTATATCTATAAGATTAACAATGGCGAAATTTTGAAATCAGATACATTGTGATCACGGCGCGTGTGTAGAAAATAACTTAAATACAAAATACCTGCTTTACTATAACCGCTAGAATTTAAAGAAACGTTAAAGAATATCATAAGGCTTTGTGTCCGAGATTTTACAGAGGCGGCGCTTATGTGCCTTATAAAGCGGGTGGCGGCAAGTCAAACAGAAAAATGACGGACATATATATTTTAGATAGTTTTATTTGAATAATATACCTTTTAAAATCACACGTGTAGTCTATAGTGAGACAATCCATGGGTTCGCAGACCCAGTCTTTGACTCCCCCATATAAATAAAAATAACTTGAGACAGTCTTGAAATAAAACTGCACAGGTCCGTTTGATTGTTAAAATGTCGGTTAATGTTTTTCTTCGATTAACGATACAACTATATTAAGTGTTTCATCGATCTGGTATTGCGGAATATAAACTCGAGAGAAAAAATATTATCAAAGCTGCCAGTTGAAAGCAAAATTGCAAAAGATTGTGAAACAATAGTTCTTCCAGCTGGCCAAACAAATTGGAAATTGATTCATATATAATCTCTCCATTTTTAGAAGGAAGAAATTATACTTTGTTTAAAAAAATAATAAAAGAATGGCATATACAATAGCTGTCGTATGATTCCATTTTGGAACGTATAGGTGTGAATACGCATTAGTATCAAACAAGCTATCATTTTTTTCTATGTTTTTTATTTCATCTTGTAACAAAATATCAAAAAACAAAACAAAACAAAAACAAATGTGAAACACAAATGACTTTAGATTCTGTACTTTTTACAAAAGTGGAGACACATAATGTTCAGGTGTAAAAATATACATGTATAAAGAAAGAGTATTTAACCAAATACCTTAGGTAAATGGATTAACATTACAAGAGTTTTACTCAAAACAAATTATAAACATATTTTTTTAGAATAAAGTAAACAGTGTTTCTTGGTATTGCTTCGATATTTTTTCTTCATTTTATAAATAAATTAGCTATGTAGAACAAGAAACAGAATATTTACATAACATTTACATTGCTCGAAAAAACTAGTTAACGCACGGGGAAAAAAACATAACGCACTGAAATTAAACTTAAAATGTTTGCAAACTTTTGTACGGCACTGTTGATGCTTTTACGAGTATAGATATTATCAATTGCACTAAAAGATATATACTGCATATAATATTCTTAAGATCTAACAAACATTCTAAATTAACTAAATTAACATTTTTTAAAAAGATTTTAAACGAGGACAATAGAATATGTATATTGGGGAGTATAATAACCGGGCTGCACTGTATTTTATACTGCCTGTTGTTTTCAAAAAGAGAAAAAATAATCCGTACTATTTCGGTGTAAATAATACATATTGTCTGTCTCGGTTTTCATATTTGCTTCGAGCAACGCCATGTAACTTAAATACCAGACGACAATAAGATGTGATGTGGAAATATGCTTCATCTCATTCTATATACTATAATATGTATAAATATATCAAATAAATCATAAAAAATAATAACATGTTACTGTTGTTTTGAAAGACAAATGTATGCAATAGTAGAGAAGCTGACATCGCCATAAATGTCCATTTAACACTTATACACAACCGTGACGTGACATTATCCGTGAAACGTGAAAACCGTGCAGGAAATTACATCCAAGTAGTCACTGTGAAGTATGCACTTGTCATATTCAAGTGTCGACCAATTTGAATTGATGAAATAATTTACAAACTTTTTAGTTTACACAATAAATGATAATATATAAATAGACTGTAATCACTTTGAAGTTATCACCGTGGACTGTTCTATAAATAGCATAATCTCTGGAATTATTCTGTGAGGTTTAAAGTTTCCCTGATTTAACAGTTTTTGATTCTTTCGTCTTTCATCTGAAAATAGAAATAGTGACTAAATAATTATAATGTTTCATTAAATACATACAAAACCATCGGATGTAGGCTTCACATTTTTGCACGCATGCGCACAGCTCATCCTGATCTTTTTTCTATGAAAGGTAACACGGTATTTAAACATGTTAATCACCAATCGTACCATATCAAATACTTCCTCTATTGAAAAAAATGCTTTTTATATTGTCACGTTAACAATACATAACATGTTATAAGATAAAACGCAAAAAAGGAAAAGTCTTTCATAAAACAATGAAAAAATATAATTAAGCATTACAGATTCAGTATTTTCTGTCTGCTATTTTACTGCAGCAGACGAGAAATAAAGCAAAACAAGGCCCATAACTCTGTAACATGCAAATAATCATTTAATGTCACGAAATGGTTGCTTATAAAGAACAGGTTGCCTTTAAACGGACTGTGCTTACATTATGAATTACTATCAAAATAATATAATCCTGGGTAAACTGACTATGTGTGAGTCTGTTAATATCGCTTTCAAAAAGTGGACGTTATATTTACTGAAAAGGCGTTCCATACAATTAATCAACAGATGGGCTATCCTGTCCATGTCTTTGCAAAGCGTATACGAATTATTAAAGTATTTAAAGTAAATATGACAACTTTGTCTTAATATCGAGTATCACATACACTTAGCTAGCTGAGAAGGTCAAAATCTCTGTAAATACTTATAATGATCATTCTTTACAAACTAATATTAGCTTTCAGAAATCGATCTTATTGGCAGAGTTCACATTTTTTTTTAAAAAAGTATGTCACAGTGAAAACAAAAGTGTTGTACCTTGGACAGAATATTGATATAAATATAATATTTGTTTGACCCAGATATTTATTTTATGAAGAGGTCATTGAATTTTATTGATGATTTTGACTTTGATAAAAACGATGCTAATAAATACACGATTTAGTCAAGGTTTGAAGAATGGTGGGGTGGTGAGAGTGGGGGGCGGTATTGAATATTAAAGACGCTTTTTTAAAAAAACCTTGTCAATGTATTTCATACTTACGAGTAATTTCTCCTACTTTTTTAACCCTTACATGAAAGAAAAATTAAAGTCAGTATATTGATCTTCTCTATAAATAATTTAATATTCTATTTACACACTTTAATATTCATGTTCAATGTCATATTTCTGTAGAGTTTTTTCTTAAACTTTTAAGTATATATTTTCATAATTCATGAATGAAAGAAAAGATAAGCTTGTTTTATGGTTCAACGTATATAGACGATTTTTACTGAATATACCCATCATTTTTCGGACATTGACCCGGTATTTTTTATCATCAAGAATAAATAATTAAAACTTTCAATCAATCAGGCACAGAAGTACATTTACACGTGATTATTAAGACTTTAAGATATCATATATCATCGGTTTATATTTAAAAAGATATACCATAGATCCTACACCTTTAATACTGATAATATCAAAAGACCTGTAGGTTAACACGATACTTTATAAAATATGATTTTTTAATTAGCGTGCCAAACACCAGTTTATGAACTTTAATAACGTGCAAAATACAACTTAAATATTTAATTCCATTCATTCATTGCATTAGATATAATAGATACATATTTATAATATTACATGTACAATATAAGAATAGATGAAAGTAATAGCTTTACTTTTTAAGACAATTTATACATAGGCCAATTGAGTCGAATTATGTCAACGGTCGTCGTATGATGTATTTATTTGATTCTACATGTTGCTTAAATATAAAAACAGACAATTTCACGGGCATCATCCTTAATAGTTCCCTTCATATAAACAATTAAACCCCCAGCCAAAGGCCACTTCTTAATTAAGACTATCTTAAGAAATCCTGTCACTTGATTTTGAAATTCTATTTTAAACTTTTTACAGAATAATTTGACCTACATGACCATGTTGTTAAGAAACTACATTTTCTTTCAACAAATTAATGACCTTCCTTGACAGGTGTTCGGCTATACAAAACAAACGTATATTTCTTTCTTTCTTTCTTTCTTTCTTTTTTTCTTTTTTTCTTTCTTTCTTTTTTTCTTTCTTTTTTTCTTTCTTTCTTTCTTTCTTTCTTTTAGCATTGGACTGGTAACGTACAGTTTATAACACATATATATCTAATAATTCTATTCACTTCATAATTGAACATGAATTTACTTAAATAATGAATTAGACGTTTGATAAATTGTATAACAGAGAGAGAAAAAGACGCACTTAATTGACACTAAAGTAGTTCCAAGGTCAGATATTCAGTTGTTTGCCAATATTATCACGTATTAATGTACTTTCAATTTCCGGCTGTAAATAGAAATATCTAGTAAAGAAAGTTTAATCAATAACTGAACGATCCACTTCAACCTTCCCTTTCATATCTATAAATCTGTCCCCTATAAAGCTAAAAAAAATGCAATACACGTAACCTTTATCATTAACATACACTTTAAAAGTTCACTCTAGTTAATAAAAAACTTTTTAAAGTAAACATGTATACCTGTTGTGTATCGTGATTGTCTTAAAAAGAAAAGCCTTACTTATGTTTTGTCATTTCAAAGCTGTTTTAAAAAAAATCTTATTTACTAGAACTTTTTGTAAAGACGGAAAGATTGAAATATGTTCTTTTGGCGTAGAAAAATATATGGTTAAATTATACATAAATCTGTTGACGTTTCAATGGGTTTGTATAAACAAGATTAATTTCTTCATAAAAAAGTAATCTTACTCAATTAAATTTACTTATGTCGTTTTTACGACCGAACCTCTAAAAATATTTGATCACCATTTACACGTGCAATACTACACGTGCAATACTACACTGGAATCGTGCAGATGATACTGTCTTCAGTAATTTAAATTTTTCAGTAATTTAAATTTTGAGACATTGTTTGTAAAATATACCAGAATATTAATATCAAATGTATACCTCGTTATCATTTTCAGAGCCCAAAATAGCTATAGCAAATGCATATTGTACTCCATCTAGCTTCATTTTCGTTTTAGATACCAAAAGTTCATATCAAATACTTATTACACTTGACGCAACAAAGGTCTGTCAAAATGTTAAAAATGGTGGTTATGTGAAACAAAGAGTTCATTATATATTGTTGAGAACAACACTGTGTTCTTTTGAACTATACACGGTTGCAAAACCTATATCAGCCTCGGCTAGCGTCTCGGCCTATACAGATTTGACAGCTGCTTACTCGTCCAATATCACTTAGTATTGTACTCAACAATGTGATAACATTATAATATACAAATATGACCATGTATAATATGACGGTTTAGTTAAATATACGTTTTGTTATATACATGTACACATGATTCATTACAACATTCCTTTGTCATACATTTTAAACTTAAATATAGCAGATAAATATTAAATTCTACAACGTCTGGAAGAAAAAATTCTAATCTTTAATCTGAGTATGATGATTATTTATTTTTACGTGTGATCGGTGTTTTGTAATTCCGCAAATATATTCTCTTTAAAAAAGAATATATTGTAAAGAACGGACCCAACTTTTTTTTACTTTAGAACCAAAAATCTGAGAAAAAAATTGGCATATACACATGTATTTGAATAAAATTGTAAACATTATTTGTCAATAATGAAAACTCTTATTTCATTGGAATCTTTTAATTTATTGAGGTTTATTATTGGCCAACCCATGTGCACTACATATTTTTTTTGCATTCTCTGCGTTTTCAAAACATTATAACAATAATCTACCTTTTTCATGGTCATTATCTTTATATTTTGTGTTCAAATTCAAGGTCTGTTTTGATGATTCAAATTCAAAATGTTAAATAAAATTTGAAAGATCTAACTTTTAAACGTCAGGAACCGTCATTCATATTACAATAGTTTAAAGTCATTATTATGTTTATTTGGCAGTATTGCAAGTTGTCTTTATGATAATATCATTTATTCTATATTCCTGCAAGAATTTGACCTATTTTGTTTCATTATTATGTTAACTAACATCCAAAAGAATAAGAATAACAACTTTAACTTTACATTAGCTTGAGGAAAAATCTTTGTCAGTTAGGCCCTTTAAAAATTATGACTAGTACGAATATTTTACGATCTGAAAGCGCATGTATGTTTTATTGGTAAAATACTTTGACATAATAAACATATCTGATTAGCTTTGAATTAAAATATGCACCTCCCACATAAATTCAATAAAATAACTGAATACATTAAGATGCGCCATCTGAATTTAAAATGATTTGGATTAGTTGCTGTTGTTTTTGTTTTGTTTGTTTTTCTTCTTTTTTTGTTGTTCATTTTTTTGTTTATTTAGTTTTATTTTTTATTTTCTTTTATCATTTTTTTAGTGTTATTTTATTTATTTATTTATCATTATTATTATTATTTTTATTGGGGGGGGGGGGTCTTATTCTTTTTCAAACCTCAACCTTATTATTATCATTATGTACAAATCTAAATAATTGTTTTTCACTTAAAATTTCTTTTAAAAAAAATCACTATAAATTATTTTCATACAGTGACATAAATTACATGCAGTGATCTTTGACAAGATAAAACAGGCGTCATACATTCTATTTCAAACAGTTAAAAAAAACTCTTAGAGAGCTAAGCCAAATTTATTTTACATAGAAATCTGGTAAACAATATAGAACTGGCATATATATTTATTTCTCTGAAGAAAAAAAGAACAAACGTTTTATAATCCATTTCACCTTTTAATCCCTTAATCTTATTTAGGATTTACATAATTATTATATAAACTTAAATATCGGTCAATGTTTAAAATGTGCTTTTTGTTCAGTAGATAGAAGGACATGTTGTTACTTTGGGATCATTGATTCCAGCACTTTTAAGTGTTGTGAATTCAGTTCCGCTCAAGCCGGTGCTAGAGAGCATGAGGGATGTTGCACTTTTTCATTATCCCTCATGTACAGATTCAGGTTAAACCGAGTCTGTAATTTTTATGTATTTTT